GCCTCGCGGAGAAACCGCGAGAATATTAAGAGGGAAACGCGCCAAGGACTCTTTCGAACTCGAATATCTCGTCGCGGTCCCGCTATAGATATCGTTGCACGATCGTCGATGTGCAACCACCTGGATTTCAGGTATAAAAGGCGGGGCCGGATATTTCGCCGCGCCCTCCATATAATTCGATGCATCTCTAGTTTAACGGATTAGTTAGACGCAATTAGAGCGGCCCGCCAGTTGGCAATTTGGTGGCAGGCCACGCGTTCTCCGGTAATTCGATAGGAAAAAAAAGAAAAGATCGTCCTCGAGGCTCGACAAGATTGCAGCGATCCAATTACCCAGGCCCTGAAAAGGGGACTCGAGTACGGAGCCAGAATGCCGATGCTTCCTTTACGCTCGCTGTAATTCGTGACCTCCGTTCGTTATAGAAACCTCTCGTCGCACGCTTTTCTCTCGGAATCGGCCGCTCTTCACCATCCATCACAGAACACTCGCTGGTTTATTAAAAACGAAAAAAAAAGACAAATTACGATTGAATCGCAAGGTTCCGAATTGTGTAAAAGCATTTTTGTAATATTCTTAGAGAGGTTTCACAGCACTGGAACGTTCGATTTTTGTTTCGCCGAGTAATCGTCGAACAGCGAACGAGTGCTGCTCTACGCTTTCATCTCTAACGTCTAATTTTAACTGCAATTTATTAATCAAACGGATAGAAACCTCTTTTATATAAAAGGATCGTGGTATAAAGTACGAGGAGAACAACTATCAGAGCAATTCTGTGAAACGAATTACAAACAAGTGTACAAGTACATGGAAGCAGGTTTACGCGCCGCTCGATTTGGCTAAGATTGCATAAATCTTTTTTCTCGGGTCGCTGTCTGCAGTGGGGGAAAAGATAAAACTGTTGCACAGAGAACAGCCAGCATACTGATATTTAAGTGAAAAAAATAAGGAACAGAAGTTTGAGGAGTAGGATGGTGGATGGGAGTTGATAAGGCTAAGGAACTGAGGACAGTCAACAACCAGTTTATGATTTTGAATAGAAAGATAGCATTGTCCTAACTTTACTAAAGCGAGGGAAGAACGAGCATCTGTTCAGTTGGCTGAAATGTACCATAAGCTACCATAAGGTGTTATTTTTCGTAAAACGGTTGCTCCGTTATCGCACCGTTGCGACATCACAACACTTTGACTGCCACGCCGAAATCACATGTTTCGCTCAAGACGTCACGGCAGTATTTTTATTATTCAAAGCATAAAATGGCAAAATAATAATACATTGATGATGTAAGACAACATTCTTCCCCGATGGACCGTTTATCTTATTGGTGGCTATCGCGTGACCACCGTGGCGCCTTGATAACAGTTGATAGCGACAGATTATAACGAGGCTTCGTTTATTTCAACAAACCATTCGCATTCGTTATTTCGTCGTAAACAAAACGTCCAGAATTTATTGTTGAAACGTGCAGAAGATATTAAGTAAATAGTATTTGCTCATTCTATATATAATAGTAAGGTTGAGAGACAAGCGTGACATTTTTATGATTTCGACGAAACATTCGGTTGAAATGGTAGAGGTACAAAAAAAATATTTGTGATAAACCAATGGTAATGGTAGATTACAACAGAGGAAAATGTGCTGTAGATTTATCAGTTCAAACGATAGCATATTCTATACCATATAGAAGAACCCTCAACTGGTATATAAAATTAGCTTTAGAGTTATTGTTAAATACATCAATTTCAAACGCGATGATACTCCATAAACAAGCAACAAAAACAAAAATCAATGTATCAGATTTTAGAATGGCACTCGCAACGCACCTTACACAGTGCCATTCACCAGAACCGTCAAATATACTTATTCGACAAAGATTGCGACGCGAAATGGAGAAGAAAGAAGGGCAAGCGTACCTGGCACGAAAATTTTGCAGAGAGTGCTATAAAAAAAACGTTAAACAGTTAGGAGCAAAAATTGCTAAGAATCGGACCAAAAAGGTGACCACCTATTATCCAGATTGTATTGATGAACCGCATTTATGTTTAAAGTGTTTTAACACAGTGCACCGTTAGCTGCAAGATTTGTCCTTATTTTTTTTATTGATGTCCTAATAAAAATGTTTAATTGTTCAAATTGTTATTTCAAAGTATCTCCTATTTATCGATTATATTCAAAATGTCCTAACAGTCAATTTTCATTCAATTTTTACAATTGTAACAAGTTGAAGCGCTCCGGTCACCAATGACCATTATGGTAGTCAAAGTGTTAAGCATTTACGCGTATAAGCGTATAAGCGTCCAGCGAAACGGAATTCGTCCGAAGGAAGAATCGAAACCCGTTCGAACTTTGATGTCGATACGCAGCAGATAGGTCGTGTGGTTCTCGAAGGATTTGCCAAGACATTGCCATCGGGACAAGAGGAGAGTTGCGAAAAGAAAAAGAAACAGAGAAGAGACTCCTAATGATGGATCCTGGTTCTTTACTCTCGCGACGCTATCGTTACGACTCGTGCTAATTACACAGTCTGGTCGGCAGCCGGTCGAAGGAAAAACGACAGAGAACTGCCGCGACTCGATCCATGGACTCCGTTCCACCGATAAGCGAATTCCCGTACTCCTGTTCTCTTTGTCGTCCCATCGACAGAGTCGCATTTAGTCGTCGGCGATACGACCTGCTAATTCCTCGTTCGCTCGAATATTTTCGTCGCGTCTGCGGCCGTTTAAAAACCTGACCGTCGCTTAAGTGCTGTCGGCGATTAAAAGAAGAGGAGGAAGAATAAAAAAACAAGATACGGACCAATCTCGTGTGGATCATCGCGCGAATCTCGTCTCGTCCGCCTAGAACTTTTGCTAATTATTTAAAAATACTGCTACCTCGCCGTTTCCCATGATTTTTTAATATGTCGCAGAAATTGTGTGTGTGAGTAGCAGCGTATCCGTTAATATTGATATAAAATAACTGGTATAAACACTGATATAACCTGGCCCAATTCTTATCTTTTGTTTATAGCCCATATAGGTTTCGGTCAGGTGTTATCTTATTTGACCGCCATCAATGCCAAAGCGTTCGCTGTCACTGACACGCGCAATTATAAGTGCAATTCATCGTAGCAGTACCGACAATTTTTTGCAAATATGTCGGAAATTAAGGTCGGGGTTTGTATGTACCGGGAAAGGTTGTTCCTTATTTCTCTACAACATATAGAAAAGTCATCGAAATCGGTGAGATCGCAGTACTTCTAAATGACTATTTTTTAGTAATCAATTTAATTATGTAATGTAATTAATAATTAATTTAAAAATACCAATAGTCAAGACTATCACCACTGCAGAGTAAAGTACTTATTTACGAAGCAATAATAATATCGATATGGACTTATGGCATAGAACTATGGTGTTCTACTTGAAAATCCAATACTGCCATCGTACAAAGATCGCAATCTAAAATGTTCTGTACAATGACAGATACACCATGGTATATACCAAACAAAACACCATGTCTTTGACATCCTATTCATCGTAGAGATGATACAAGAAAAAAGCAACAGCCACCGCATCAGAGTAGATGTTCGCATCAACCCTCTCGTTCAATCACTCCTGAAGGAACAGAGTCCTAGAAGACTGAGAAGACAGAGGTCGGCTGACTTGGAACGAGGTACGGTAGAACCATCATCATGACATACGTGTAAGTCACCTAAAGCCGAAAGCTTTAGAATTCTGATTGAAAGAAAATATTGCAATCGCGTCTCGCTTTGGCTATCGACACCGCAGCGAAACGCCCGCGGCGATTTCTCGGTTCGTTCGGGCGCATTACGCGAAAACCGAACGTTACGTAGCGAAAGGAGGGATTTTTCGTAAAATGCGGCCGAGCTCGTGCCTTTTCCCCAACGAGCAAACTTTCGTTCTCGCAGGACGAGTAAATCTCCGCGCAGGTCGCTCGACCGGATGCTAAATAACCCTGTAATTGCGCCGAGGGAGAAAGTTTTTCGGCCGATGTGCCCCGGGTACGGTGTTTTTCGACTACGTCTACAGTGCTGCTTTTCATAAAAACTTTTTTCTTGTCGATGACTCTCGTTCTATATAACGCGATCCTTCTCGTTTAAACTTTCGTCGTTGAATTCATTTATCGGTCTCCTACTCCTCGCCGCGCGGCGACTTTTCTTCCGCTGTTTATTGTCGAGCACGTCGATCGATCGTCTAGTTTAATTATCGGGATAAAGCCGCGATGGCATCCGCGTAGCTTTACGTCGCGAGCTTCTTCTTCATTTGCATCGTATTATCGTCGCGAGAATGGAAAATCTACAACGTTCGCGACGAAAGTTCGCCAAGCACTGGCAGACAACACCGGTCAATGATAGACGCGGACATCCCAGTCTATAGCTTGGAAACACGCGAATGCCACTTCACGGTAGGTCAGTGTCGATCGACGCTAAGTTTAAGATGGACGATTTTCCTGCACAAGTAACCTCGATGGAACGAAACGCGATTCAACGAAGTGGAAACGTCGTATAAATACACCGTAGTTATAAGAACATCTGATACAAAGCGATCAAAATATCAATATATTTTCAAAATTATAATGAAAGAACGTTTCTATACTTTTTCCCGTAACTGAGATCAAATGCTCCGCGAAATTTCCACC